GATAATCCTAGCCCCCAATAATCCGGCCAGATAATCCGACCAGATTATCCGGCCAGGTATGCCGTGCTACATAGCTATAATATAGAGATCCCAACACACCTCCACACCTGCCCCGTGTTCCATGCGTCAAAGTTGTTTCCATGCGTCACAAGTCAACAGTTTCCATCAAGGAGATCCATGATCCCTTCAGACATGGATGGAAGGTATGACATTGAGGGCATTGTAGGTGAAGACGTATTCAGAACAGGAGGTCGAGGTCATCCACAGAAACAGTATAAAGTCAGATTTGCTTATCACGAACCTGAGGACGACCGCTGGTTTACTAGAGTTGAACTCCTAGAAACAGCTCCCGTCGTAGTTAGAGCCTACGAGAGAGAAAGGAAAGGTAAAGGTCCGGTCTTAGACTGAATTATTCTCGGAGAACCTCGAATTTAGGCCGGCGGGAGTGAAACGGTATTCACCTGTTAGCAGTAGCGAATGCAAATCCCAGGGCTCGATCCCTAGTTCTTACTTTACCTGTGTACAATATCTGTGTCGACCCCCAGAGTTGAACCCGTGACCTGTGTATTCACAACAGTTGGTAGGCTGTCGTAGGTCCATAGGTTGTAGGGGTTCGATCTGTAGACCTGTAGGATAGAGGTCTTAGTGAGTTCGAGAAGTCGTAGCTATAGCTCTTCTGAAGGGTCAAGGTCGTAGCTGCTACAGTCCTGAAAGGTCAAGTCGTAGTTGCTATAGTGTTCGAAAGGCCAAGCCCACAGACTTCTGGAAGGTCGAAAAGTGGCCTTTCGAAGTTGTCTCACATTTGGACAGAGGCAAGTGGGCAAGTGGTGAGCCCAACTGCGTTACGTCGGCAGTGTGACTGCATCGAGTTGGCAGTGCAAACCCATGCAGTCTGCGGTACCGGTCCCAGTCAGTCACAATCCAGTCAAGCAAGTACTGTGTGGGATTGTGTGCACCTAGGGCATGGGAAAGGGGCAGACCAACGAGTTACAGAAGTATAAATCAAGAGGCAGCACCCAACCATTCATTCATTCCTGCGTAAGCCATGCGGAAGTGCTGCTTGAGTGACTTGTGCAAGGTGGCCTGCAGGGCGCCCGAAGACGAAGTGGGCAGAGTAGAGGTTGCGTACCCACAGCCAGCAGTGTTAAGCGGCCATAACCGCCGTAGGTGGTAGGCAAGTGTAGTGTGTGCGCGTGTGGGATACAGTGTGTCGCGTGTGGGGTATCTAGGGTGATCCTGAGTTGAGTGTGTGTGAACAGGGGAGTTGAGCACAATGACGAGCAGAGAGTTGTACAGGCGTTGATGCGCCATAGCCTGTTGAAGCGAGCATGTATCTGAACTGTGTTTCCGACTTCCATATCTCTGAGCTTTGAGTGGGCGCTAAGCGCCAGGGTGACTTGCCATCTGTTTGTGTGAATGCGAAGTGGAAAAGAAAGCGAGTCTGATTGCAGACTGATTAAAGCATACTAATTAGCCCCCAAAATTGCAATTTTGACCTAGCTGCCGAAAATCGAATTTTTTTTTCTTTTCTTGGATTTTGTTTTCCTGCTATTTCGGTTGTGGAAAATTGCAATAGCGCAACACCTGAAATTTCTGTTTTCATTTCTCTTCTGAAAATTCAAAATGTCGTTGTTGGAAATCTGGAATATCTTTCTTTCGAAAAAAAATTGATTTCCTTTTGCGATTTCCCGTTATTTGGAAATCCAGAATATTTTTTTTTTCTTCTGAAATTCGTTAAAAAAAAAAAAAAAAACGGTACGGGAAATCCCTCTTGCAGTTACTGTTTTCCAAACTGCACGAATTCCAAATATTTTTATTTTATTTTATTTTCAGAATTCGTTTATCGGATAATCATTTGCAGTCTGAAAGTTCGAATTTGTTTTTCCTCATTGGTAATTTCGCACTTCAGGGGGAATTGGGAGGCCTACTGAACTCGTTTGCAAGTTCAAACTTTTCTTTTTGAATAGTGGCTCCTTATCTAGGCAATCAACCCACCCCTCCCCACCTATGTTGTTGCCCCTCTGGTCTTCTCTATCTGTCTTCGGGTACCCCCTGCAGCGGCATTGGTGAGTTGCCACCTCAGCAGGCCACGTCAGCAGGCCACGTCAGCAGACCACGTCAGCAGGCCACGTCAACCGACAGCCGCGCCACGATAGCAGTTGAGCAGTGCCACGTCAGCAGTCCTCCAGCCTGGTCTATGCTCACGCGCTTACAAACAGCCGGCATGGATCAGAAGTCCGGGGACACGGCCGAGGCCTATCAGGCCCGGATGCTGGCTTTGATTACCGAAGCCAAGAAACGGGGGGATGAGGTAGCAGTCGAAGAGAAGAAGAAGGCAGAGGACGCCGAGAAGGCACGTCTGTTGGCAATCGAACAGCAGCGCCAGCAAGACGAGGCCGCAGCAAAGGCTGCCGATGAAGAACGAAGTCAACGACGCGAGAAGATATTTACCAGAGAGCGAGCCTTGCTCACAATGGCTGCGGACTGGCGGGCCGAGGCCGAGAATGGTAAGATGGAAGAGAGTGAAAGCAAAATCGGTCTACTCCTCTCCCATTTCACGGATCTCCTGGTAATGTGCATTGCACAGCAGGAGGACATCCACAACCTTGACGACAAGGTTCAGACGCACAACCAGGTGTTTGATCAAGTCGCCTCCAACAGTTGGAGCAACGACCCGTCGCCGTCCCCGATGCCAGCTCCTCCAACACCTCCAATCGCCTCAATGCATTGGAGATCGACGTCGGAACCCTCAAGGACGACACGCAGTTATAGCAAACCGCCACGCAACAACTGGAGCAGCGGATTTGTGCTGCCGCCGCCACACCGAGTTCAGCACCGCGCGAGACGACTCCAAGGTTCGATGATCAGGAGATCTTCTGCGATGCGATGAAGACGGACCCGATTCCGTGGTTCCGCAAGGTCGAGCTCAAGTTGCAGCTACACCATGTCAACGAGGACAAGCATCACATGTACTTATACTCCCTGGCGGGGGGCGCGTGCCAATCATGGTTGGACAATCTCTTGTCCGAGTGCGGGGTGGTTGCTGCCGACTTGTACACCAAGATCATTTGGGATGATCTAAAGGCGGCGTGGCATAAGCGGTTCCAAGTAGAGCCACCAAAGATCAAGGCAATGGACAAATTGATGACCTTCGAATAAGGCACGCTGCCGAGTGTTGACTGGATTGCCGAGTACCAACGCTTGACATCCGTCCCAGACATTCAGATGGGCTTCAAGGCTGTCAAACACTACTTCATCACGAGGTCGTTTCCAGCATTGGGCAACGCCTTGACTCACGTCGAGGACACCCTGACGACAACAACGGAGCTTTTTGACAAGGCCGCACAGATCATTGTCACGAACAAGGAGGTCAAGAACCTCAACCGTTCGTTTGCGACAGGCCCGAGCAGAGATCAGCATCGGCCGAAAGTGGCCGTGGTCGCGGCGGCAACGCCAACCGACCCTTCTAGCGAGGCCGTGCCTGCCAATGAAGGGGACAGACTCGCAGCCGCCCGAGATGGTGGCCGCCCCGACAAAGGCCGAGGACGCGGCAAGACGAAGACAAACACCGCATCTATCCCCGGGCCCGGCGCAACAGCTCCAGCCCCATGGTCCAACTACGGTCTCTCCGAACATGCGTACAAGCTACGCACGAGATTCCGCTATTGTCTATGGTGTAACCGTGATCTCCACGACACAGTGGGTTGCTCGTCGAAAGGCAAGGGCAAGTCGGGTAACTGAGCACCGCCGGGAGTGAATCGACGACACTCTCGACGCCTTTGGAACTGGGCGCTTCGTAGGTGACCGCCCTTCATTCCGAGGCACATGCGGAAGTCAATAGTCCTTCTCTTCTATATTCTTATGAGTATGCTGCCCGGCTCGTTCCTATGCAAGGTACTCATGCTCAAGGACAAGACGTGTGTGCGGCATCTTCTCCGTCCGGTAGCGGCGACTTATCGTCTTCAAGTGGTTCTTCATGGGGTTCGGCGCGCGAGTTCAACATAGAGGTCTTGGACCCGCTCACGTCGGAGGATTTCGCATGGCTTCCTCTCCCGACCACGGGCCGCTTGTCGGGACCACAATGCGCAACACTATGCGCTCATCTTCACATGTATCTATCCTTCTATGCACCACCAACTTCGCCGACGGATGACGAAGCTGCGGTGGGGGTTATCCTTGCGTATGTTATTGACCCGCGAGTTTCGCAAGCAGAGGTACGATGACAACAACACACCACTCCTCTATGTCCACATCCAAGTTGGGCAAGCGTCCTGCAATGCTTTGCTGGATAGCGGAGCGACTCGCAATTTCATGAGCCAAGCCTTTATGCAAAAGGATGGCCTTGGCGCACAAGTTCGGAGGAAGGCAAACCCGACGGCGATCAAGTTGGCGGACGGAAGGACGCAACAACTTATCGATCGTTACATCGAGGCCGTACCGATGTAATTTCGCACCTCATGCATGCGAACCGGTGACGATCGACATTTTGGACATGGACTTCGATATCATTTTGGGAATGCCTTGGCTTGCAAGTGCGGATCACACGGTCAACTTCCACCAGCGGACTCTTACCAATCGGGATGCCTTCGGCACCAAAGTGCCATGTACTATTCCTCTTCCGCACCCTTCGATCCAGTGCCAAGTGGTGACGGCCAAGTCGTTCCGGGCTACTTGAGCTTACGGGCAGCCCGACGAGATAGGCCTATGCTTCCTACGGGGTGTCGCAGTATCCAATTCTTCCCCCACTCACTTGTCTTTGGACCCCCGTGTGGTGCGGTTGTTTGACGAGTTCACCGACATCTTCAAGTCACCTACTGGTGTGGTGCCGGATCGGCCAATCTCTCACGAGATCATTCTTGAGGCCGGTGTCGTGTCGCCGAAAGGGTGCATTTACTGCATGAGCGAGGAGGAGCTTACGGTCCTCCGCGCGCAACTCGATGACTTGTTGGACAAGGACTCGATCCGCCCTAGTAGCTCCCCACATGGAGCACCAGTTCTCTTCGTACGGAAGAAGAACAAGGATCTACGATTGTGCATCGACTACCGCAAGCTCAACGCGCAAACCGTCAAGAATGCGGGGCCTCTTCCTCGTATTGACGATCTCCTTGAGCGTTTGGGTGGCGCGAAGTACTTTTCTGAGTTAGATCTGAAATCAGGATACCATCAGATTTCGATCCGGCCGAACGATCGCTATAAATCCGCATTCAAGTCGTGGTATGGGCATTTTGAGTGGGTGGTCATGCCCTTTGGCCTCACCAACGCCCCGACGACCTTTCAAGCGGCAATGACCAACGAGTTCCGTGTGATGTTGGACCGGTTCGTGCTAGTCTACTTAGACAACATTCTCGTCTATAGCCGGACATTGGAGGATCATCTTGAGCACCTTCGACGAGTGTTGGAGACGCTCCGCAGTGCCAAGTACAAAGCCAACCGCGACAAGTGCGAATTTATCCGGCAAGAGATGGACTACTTGGGCCATTTTGTCACACCGGAGGGCATCAGTCCATTGTTGGACAAGATTCAAGCCATCCAAGAGTGGTCGGCGCCGTGGAACGTTATGGTTGTCCGTTCGTTCCTTGGCCTTGCCGGCTACTACAAACGTTTTATCAAGGGATACTCGAAGATCGCGGCCCACTTGATCAAGCTTCAATGCGGGATCGGCAGTTCGACTTCGGGGAGGATGCGCGAGAATCATTCTTGGCTCTCAAAACTGCATTATTGTCTGCGGAGGTCTTGCGAATCTATGACCTGCTATTGCCAACGCGCGTCACTATGGATGCGTCCGACTACAACATTGGTGTCGTCCTCGAACAACGCAACAGTGTCGACTAGCACCCGGTCAAGTACTTCAGCAAGAAAGTGCTGATGATGCACACAAGAAGGAGCTCCTAGCCTTCGTCCACACACTCAAGCGGTGGCGGCACTTCCTCCTTGGTAGAAGTCAATTCCGATGGGCAACGGACAACAATCCGTTGGTCTTCTACAAGACCCAAGACACTGTCAATAGCACCATCGCCCGCTGGATGGCTTTCATCGACCAATTTGACTTCTTTCCCGATCACATTCCGAGGAAGTCTAACCGTTTTGCGGATGCTCTTTTACGGCGTCCGGGTCATTGTACCGCCATCTATTCAACCTTCGAAATCAACGACAATTTGCGGGACAGTTTCATCCGCGGCTACTACCAAGCGACAAGTACGCGAATTGCTCCTCTCCTAATCTGGCGCCTTCTCACTACTGGATCCAAGAGGGGTACTTGCTTGTCCACAAGCGGGGGAAGGACCTTCTTTGCGTACCGAGTGACTCCCACTTGCGTACACGGCTTCTTGGCGAGTTCCACGATGCTCCCGCCACCGGACACTTTGGAGTCAATCGAACGATTGGCCGACTTTGCGAGTGCTTTTGGTGGCCTGACCTTCTCGACGACGTCACACGCTATTGCGACTCATGCGAAGTTTGCCTACGCTGCAAATCCCGCAACCATCGTCTGTACGGCGAGTTGCGACCATTACCGGTCCCCTTGCGATGGACGGAAGCGATTGCCATGGACATTACCAGGCCGTTCCCCAAGCACAAGACCGGTGTGGATGGGATTCTCACGGTGGTCGATCGACTCACCAAGTTCGCCATGTTTTTGCCTTGTCGCAATCATGCCAAGGCACCGGAGTTGGCCGAGGTTCTTTACGCCGATTGGATTCGAACCAAGGGTTACCCCAAAACCGATGGCCAAAGGGAGACGGCGCATCAGACCGCACAAGTTCTCCTTCGCACTCTCATCCGTCCCAACCAAAAGGATTGGGTTGAGCGGTTGCCAAACATCGAGTTGGCATACAACTCATCCATCCACCCGGCTATTAGGATGTCGCCCTTCAAGTTCGAGCACGCCTCGCCGTTCACTTCTCCGTTGGACACAATCATTCCATGAGCGGCCGAGAGCGACAACCATATTCTTTTCTTGTGTCGGATGCAAGAGCTACTGGTCAAGGCACGCGACCACATGGCTAAGACGCAGCAACGCATGAGCCAACAGGCTAATCGCCAGTGTCTTCCTTGTCCATTCCGCGCCGACGATCTCATTTGGGTTTCCGCTGCGGAGTTCAGCCTCGAACAAGATATCTCTCGCAAGCTCCTCCCGAAATGGATGGGGCCCTGGCCGATCGTTGCACCTGCTGGGGATGCACCCGAATGACCTTCCTTCATCATTCAGGTGCCCGCCCACTTGCCCGACTGCCCGGTCTTTCATTGCTCCAAGTTGGCTCTTTACAGGCCAACGGAACATGACAATTTTCCTGGGCGACGATCGCAAGACCCACCCTCTATGGACGGTTTTCAAGATGTCGGCGACATCATCTCCGAGTGATGCTACAGCAACAGGCCGACCGAATACTTGGTACACTTTGTGTACTGCACCCACAAAGTTGACCGTTGGTTGACCCGTTGTCGAGCGCATCGGTCCCGCAGGGGGACCCTCCCGGCTGCGTCACGCAGGATTTTGCAAGACTTCGTCGTAGAGCGCGGGTTGTCGCTCCGACCAAGTGCGCCAACCGTACCTCTCGCGGTTCCCTACGACAGGACAGGGTCAAGCGAGACACGTCTTACCTCCACCCGTGGGAGCTGTCACCATCCCTTGGGTGGGTGTATCCCCGCTGCGCTACTGAACCACGTGCGAAAGCTTTTCGTATGCAATCGCAGAGGTGGCCCGACCGAGGGCGTTTCTCATTCGCTGTAGCATAGGGGGTACGTGCGGTCAACGCCCCTCACCCCGGCCTTCTTTTTATTTTCTGAGGGGGGTGACAGGTCGTTCCCCGCACACGTCGTGCGCCGCACGGGATCAGTTGGGCTCGTGCGCCGCACGTCGGGAACCGGCCGCACGATGTGCGCTTGCAAGTATGGGTTGGATACGTTATTTCCAATACTGATGTGAGAAGGATGCAATCACGGCCTTCCACCACGGCCTTCCCCCACGGCCTTCCCCCACGTCCTCCCTTTCAATACAGCTGGTTCGTTTTTTTTTGTTTTGTTTTCGCAAACGGACCCACAAGGCCCAAACATTTGCTTTTGGCCGAGCCTCCTCTGGACCTCCGAAAATTGCACTGGGAAGTATATTCCCGTTTCCCCCAACACTCAGAAAGGGAGTGGTGGTTTAGGAATACGTGTAGTGGCCCTAAGGGCCCACATGCACAAAAAAGAAAACATATGGTGGCGTATGTTTGCATGTTCTAGCAAAAGATTCATTCTAATTTTGCACATTTGGTTAGTGCAACCAAGGCTGGATCCATATGGTGCGAAAATCAGAGGTGTTGGTGGAATAGTATGCCATTGGACCAAGGGGGAAGCTTCTTGGCTCCCGCAACCCCTTCACGTGGCGAGAAAAAACCGAGATGTTCCGAGTGCGTGTGCTACAGGAGGGACAAGACTCCACGGTCTTCTTCCCCCAAACACCAATAAGCGAGCTGCCCATTGACCCTGAAGAATGGCAATGGCAGACTGCCCAGGAAACAGCAGCGGCGATTGGAAAAAGAGTCCACCTTAACACCATATCTGTCAAATCCATGTATAGGATGCTTAGACCCAAGAGAGTGCTAAGGGACCAAATCAATGATAGATGGGCTCAACACCTGGACGTGGATCGGTCCCTCCTCAAGCCAATTAAATGGTTCAGTGGAAGCAAAGCGAGACCGACAAAAATCACGTTATTACAATGGCAGATCGCTCATCGATTTGGGAGGGGGGCTCACCACAACAGTAATACTGCCAATTAGCCCGTACCCAGGCCTTGACCACAGGATGTGCATGGCAGTCTGGACTGTTTGCAAAAGACCAGACCAAGGGGCTAGCTACTACAAACTCAATACTTCAGTACTCGGGTTCCAAATATTCCAGAAATATCTACAGCAAGCACGGGACTTCTGGAAAGACCAACGTCTCCATCACGACTCGCCAATCGCATGGTTCAACAACGGATTGTTTTTTCTATCTAAAAAATGTAATGAATATTCAAAACGCCTAGCCGCACAAAGACACCAGTAGGAAATCACGTTAATGCACAACTTAGTAGATGCAGAATAAAAGCAAATACCGCAAGGGCAGGAACCGATTTCCCCGAAATTACAAACTCACATACTAGACCTGAAGGCTCAACTCTTGAGACACACACATTATCGAAGGCAGGGAGCCCAAACAAGGGCAAGATTGTCTAGATACTCTACGGAAGGATCGATGAATTCTCATTTTTTCAGCCTAGCCAAAACACGCCTCAAAAGGACCACGGTCGAGGCACTCTATGAACCAAACGCCACGGAATCGGACCCAACCGTCTCCACGGCGCGGTGCACCAAATAACATATGACTTCTACAAAGACCTCTTCTCCTCGCATGTGGACAAGTCAAACGCGCCACAACACGATCGTCAACTAACGAACTTCCTACAACCAATTAACAAAACCCTAACAGTTGAACAACGGGAATCCCTGGAGGCCCCCCTCTCCAAACAAGAAATATGGATCGCCCTCCTTCAAATGAAGGAAGAGAAAGCACCTGGGATTGATGGCTTCCCTAAGGAATTTTGGGAAACCACATGGGATTTCCTGAGCCAGGACGTCATGGACTTCTATAAAGAAGTATGGCTCACAGGGGAAATGGGTGAAAGGGTGGGGCAAGGGATACTGACCCTCTTATATTAGAAAGGGGACAAAATGGATATCAGAAATTACCGCCCGATCACTCTTCTCACAGTATTATACAAAATGTTGTCTAAAACCTTAGCTAATAGAATGATTCCGGTCATGGAAGACATCATCCACCCTTCTCAAACAGGCTTCATGGAAAATAAGAACATACGAGAGATGTTGCATACTGTAACGGTGCAGACCAGAACAAGAACCGACCTCTCAATACAAAGTACAAGATAGCGTAGCGGAAGACTTAGATACCAATGATCCGAACAATCAATATTGCAATGCNCAAAGTACAAGATAGCGTAGCGGAAGACTTAGATACCAATGATCCGAACAATCAATATTGCAATGCAGCCCCGAACATACATCATCATCATCATTTCATGGTGTGAAGGGGTCTGGCGCTCACACATGAAGACTGCGCCAGCCCCAACCATACACAGACGAAGAAGAGGGGGGGTTAGACGAAGAAGAGCGGAAGATGGGAATGTCGTCAACACCAAGTCTTCGGAATCCCAATGTCGAGTCTGGATCCAATGTCGTCAAGTCTCAAGTCACAACTCTTTCTCTCTCTCTGTAGTAGTCTTCTGATACTGCGAAGTCAGGTGGTGAGAGGGTGAAGAAGAGATGGTGGACTTAGAAGAGGAAGAAGAAGAACTCTCTCTCTCTGTGTCCAGTACTGACCTGTGAAGATGGCGCCTTGATGCAGGTACCTCGTAGATGGAGCTGGAGCTATGGCGCCACAGGTAAGTACCACTGGCCTTCGCTAGCCATCTCTCTCCAACGCTACTACTACTAGCTACTAGCGCCTTGCGCTAAAGACTACTCCTGCAGCTATGAGCGCCCAGCGCTGAAGACTACTGCTAGCGCTAACTACTACTGCAGCGCTCCTCGTGAGTGCTGCGGCCGAATCCTGAAGACTACTCGTGCCCACTGTCCAACTACCTACCGTGAAGTGCATGGGAACTTCCTATGTGCTACTCGGCTTGCCTCCTGACTGCAGGGCGAGGCAGTCCAGGAGGCTGCTCTTGCCAATGCCGCAGGGAGTCGGGGGCTGCCGCTGCAGCTCCTGCTTGAGGCTGTCGTGGGAAACAAGCTAAAGATAGCCTGTTCCCGAAACCCTGGTTTTGTGCCTGAGTGTTAGGACAGGTCGATCTTATGAGGGCCCGAAAGTGGCCCTCCATTTCAGGCTGAAAAGCCTCAGGGCTGAAAAACCCTGTTTTAGGCTGAAACGACATAGGGCCTGCAGGCCCTCGTTTTTCAGTCTTTCAGGCTGAAACGACAAGGGCCAATAAGCCCTTATTTCTAGGCTTTTAGGCTGAGAATGCGGAACGGGCCCTGCAGGCCCGTGTGGCTACGCAGTATGCCACACCCCCCCCTCCTTGAAAGACCGAGCTTACCTGCGAGGGCGAAGCTGTCTGTCTGAGGGAGGGACCACAGTCCGGGTGGGAGGGGCAGGTCCTGAAGGTCCCTGATCTAACCTCTGTCGCTCGTAGTGAGCATAGATCAGCAGTGTGGATGCTTTCAAATCTGTTCCTGAAATCCACCGAGTGTCGTTGAGATCGCATGCTCTGAATGTAACTTTGTACAGGTGAGGCTTGTTGCTGTATTTGCGATCCGTGATGACGCGGTCAACTTCCTGATGAACATCCATAGATGGAGGGTTCTGCGATCGTCGGCCTGGGAAGTCGTCGCTCTTAGCTGGTGTATATGTTGCCAGCTTCGAGGCGTGAAAGACTGGATGGACCGTCAGATGCGCCGGGATGTTGATCACAAATGAAGGGCCATCGGGCTCATCGCCCGCGGCTGATGTTACGGGCCATGGTCCAAACCACTTGGGAAGCAGTTTGCGTGAAACATCCTGTTCCAGTGCAAACTCTTCCGCAGAGACCCAAACCAGATCACCGGCGCGGATGGGACATGGCACGCGACGCCTGTTGGCTTACTGCTGCATGCGGACTTGAGCCTTTTGCAGTTGGCTTGAGCCAACAATTCCCTGTACTTCCGGACGGAAGCGGGAGAGCAAGCGGCGTCGATGTCGGCTGGTCGTGGGAGGAGAAGGTCGGCGAAGATACGGCCTTTCCGTCCACCGTGGTGCAACTCGAATGGAGTCACGCCGATCGCCGGGTGCACCGAAGTGTTGTAGGCGAACTCGATGTTTGGGAGGCGGTCAACCCAATCTTTCTGGTCCGGACGGATGAGCGTACGAAGCATCATTTGAGCGGTTTGATGTGCCCGCTCCGTTTGCCCGTCCGTCTGTGGATGCCAAGTCGAACTTGGTTTCATCTTCGTGCCGGACTCCTGCATGAGAGAAGTCCAAAATGCCGACATGAAGTGAGTGTCGCGGTCGCTGACTATGTCTTCCGGTACACCGTGGCCATAAATCCAACTGGTGTGCAAGAGGAGTGCCAGCTCGGGAGCCGTGGAGTAGTACTTGCAAGGGAGAAAACACGCATACTTACTCAAACGGTCCACAACTGTGAGGATGCCGTCGTGCCCAAGGCGATCGCGGTGGGAATGGTCCGGTGACATCCATGGCAACGGAGAGGCCGGGTTCCCGTGGGATAGGCATTGGGCGCAACTCGCCGTAGGGGTTGCGATTGCGGGGCTTGCTTCGTCGACAAAATTCGCAAGAGTCGCAATACCGAGTGACATCGGTAATGAGGTCGGGCCATCGGAATCGTTGTCGAAGCCGTGCAATAGTGCGGTTGACTCCGAAATGGCCGGCGAGTCGTGAGTCATGGTACTCCCCGAGAAGGCGAGTCCGAAGACGGCGGTCTCGTGGGACACACAATAAGTCCTTGCCTCTTGAGTGGAGGAGCAAGTACCCGTTGGCAATGCGATAGTGGCTGGCCGGCGGGTGATCCGAAGATAACTGCGCATACAACGTGACGAAGTCCGGATCCGATTCATATCCCCGGATGAAGTGTCGCTGAAGTTCCTCCTCGAATGCGAAGGCATGATGTGTCATAGCGCAAAGATCAGGTCTTCGCGAGAGTGCGTCTGCTGCGCGATTGGAGAGGCCGGGAAGATGTTTCGGTGTGAAGTCAAATTGGTCGATGAAGTACATCCATCATCTGATCGTGCTGCTCACCGTATCCTGTGTCTTGTAGTAAGTCAGTGGGTTGTTGCCATTAACCCATGTGAACCTATGACGCCCAAGGAGGAAGTGCCGCCATCGCTTGAGAGCCATCACAAACGCGAGCAGCTCCTTCTTCCTTGCATCATCAAGCGAGTTGATGGGAGGCACTTTGTGGTTGAAATACTCCACAGGGTGCCAGTCGTCGCCGTCGTGTTGTTCTAAGACTGCCCCAACGCCATAGCCGAAAGTGTCAATTGTCACTCTCGTAGGCAGGGTGGGGTCATAGATGCTAAGGACGGGTGCCATGAGCATGGTCGTCTTAAGTGCTTGGAATGACCGGCGTGCGTCGTCATCGAATACGAATGGCACCTTTGGCGATTGTAATCTTGTCATAGGTGCAACAATTCTTGAGTATCCGGTGATGAATCGCTGATAGTAACCCGCAAACCCCATGAATGAACGAACGTCCGTGGTGTTGGTGGGCTCGGCCCATACTCGGATGGCCTCGATCTTGTCCGCAAGCGGACGGATGCCTTGCGGCGTTACATAATGTCCCAAGTACTCCTGCTCCTGCCGCGCGAATTCGCATTTGTCCCGGTTGGCTTTGTACTTGGCTTGTCGTAGCCGCTCCAAAACGGTGCGCAGGTGTTCCACATGCTCGTCCAAACTCCGGCTGTACACCAGGATGTCGTCGAGGTAGATAAGTACAAATCGATCCAGCATGTGTCGGAACTCCGTTGTCATAGCCGTTTGGAAAGTGGCTGGGGCATTCGTAAGGCCAAACGACATAACCAGCCATTTGTAATGCCCATATCTCGTCTTAAATGCGGTCTTGTAGCGGTCCTCCTGCCGGATCTCAAGTTGGTGATATCCCGATTTGAGGTCTAGCTTGGAGAAGAACTTGGCGCCGCCCAGCCGTTCGAGGAGGTCGTCGATGCGTAGAAGAGGGCTGACGTTCTTGACCGTTTGCGCGTTGAGCTTGCGATAATCGATGCACAACCGCAGATCCTTGTTCTTCTTCGGGCGAATAGAACGGGAGCACCGTATGGCGAGGAGCTAGGCCGAATCCAGCCTTTCTCAAGAAGGTCGTCGAGTTGTGCCCGTAGCACACTTAGCTCTTCCTCGCTCATTCGGTAGATGCAACCACGCGGAGGTACAACCCTGTCCTCGAAGATGATCTCGTGGCGGATGGGCTGATCCGGTGCTACTCCGTGCGGGCCTTTGAACACGTCGCTGTAGGCGTCGAGAAGCTCGGTGATGCGTGGGTCCGAAGATGAGTCCGTCGATGAAGCGTCTTGGGGCGGGAGGGCGTGGAGAAAACACACCCCCATCTCCTCGACGTCGTCTCTGATGATGGAAGCTCGCATGCTTGCGGCGGACACCACGTGACAACTGATTGAAGGGTGAGGAGGAGCTACCGTGCATGGGACTAGTACTCTGTTCCGATCACGAACGTGAACGGTGCGGCGGTAGAAGTTCACCGGATGATCCTCGCTTCGCAGCCATGACATGCCCAAGATCATGTCGAATTTGGTGTCCAAAATATCGAAGGACACCGCCTCCCTTGCATGCGGGGCAAAGTATACGGGGACGTCATCAATGCACCGGTCAATTGACTTGTGCGTATGACCGTCTGCCAATGTGACTTGCGTCGGTTGGGACTTCCTCCAGACGCGTGGGCCAAGGCCGACGCGTATCATAAAGTCCTGGCTCATGTAGTTGCGAGATGCTCCGCAATCGATCAAAGCGCTGCAGGTCGCCTCTCCGGTCTGAATGCGTACATATAACAAAGGTGTGTCGATGTCGTCGTACCGTTGCGTCTTGAACTCGCGGTCGATCTTCGCAATGTAGGCGTGAAGGTCGACAACCTCTACTTCGGCGTCCATCAACGGAGTTGGTACTGCAATGTGCATGTAATCCCGCAATTGTGCCATGAGCACGTTGAACATCGACCGGGCTGGTGAAGGCGCATCCATTGGAAGTCCGCAAATGTCAACGGGTCGAGCTCTTCAAGTCTTGACCATGGCGTTGAATCCCCGGTGGTAGATGGCGGCGAAGCTGCCGAATCGGTTGCCGATGGTGATGAAACCGTGCATGTGGTAGATTGTTGCACGTGGAGCGGTTGGTCCAACGGTGGGACCAAGTGGACAGCATAGTCCTCGTAAGCATACCGAGAACTTACGACATTCGCATCCTCCCCAGATGTGTAGGAGGCCGTTAGCAAGGCGGCCGAATCTGGCGGAGTGGGAGGTGGAGTCGCCTCATCTCCCGCGGAACTCAGTTTCCCGAGTTGATACGAGGCCGAACATCCTCCTTGCCCTGATCCTGGCAGAGGGAGGTCTTGTGCTTGGTGCTATTGCACCAATAGCAGCAGCCGTAACGGCCGCGGTACTTGTACTCGGCCTCGGTCAAGTGAAACTTGACCCATGGTGCTGGCTGTCCTTTTCCAGCTGGCGATGCGGTTTTCGCCTTCCCGTTTCCTCGGGACTTGTTGTTGCTTCACGGCTGGACAGCAGCCACCTGATCTCCCTCACGTGACGCTTGGAAGGCTGCCGGGTCTTCCACAATGTTGTCCGATTGGACTGCAGCGAACTGCTGCGGTCGCGGACCAGTTTTCACCTTCTCCACATAGGTTGGCTGCCACGTTGACTTCTCGTGTGCAGCCGCCCTGTTTGTCTTGATGATCTCTCTCGCCTTGTCAATGATTTCAGCGAAGGTGGCATATTGCTCACGATCACCAAGTGCAAGGCTCAATGCAGCACATGACCTGTTGTAGAACTCGCGGCGCATATGCGAAAATGGCAAGTCAAGATCGGGCGTTGCCGCGATCTTCTGCCATTCCGTGAGCCAGTCACATGTTACTGTGTTGCCTTGCGTCATGCCGAAGAGACGGTTGATGGTGAGTGTTGGCGCGTCGTCCACGATGAACCGCTTCTTCCATAGCCGTGTTAACTCTTCCCATGAGATCTTGTCTTTCAAATCTGCGACGTCGACGCCGTGGATGGATGTCAGGTGGCTTAACCAGATCTGGCATCCGCCCTTTGAGTTCAGGAACAGGGCGCCGATGAACGCGTGCTTGGGGACGAACAGAATCCGAAGTTGCGTCGTAAAGCCTTCCCACCAGAGGACCGGGTCTTGATGCGTGTAGTCATCGAACTTCTCAATTTGGAATGTCGGCATCTTATAATGCGTTGTGCTGTTGCCATCCTTGTTAGGCAGCTGCAGTTGTTGAACCTCGGTCTTCAAGGTATCCAGTTGTTTGCTGATGGTGGTTGGCGCAGCGAAGGTGCTGATGTCGCCGAGCATTGCGACTATGTGGTCGACGCGTTGCTCCAGTTGGCGGGCAGAGGGTGCACTGCTGGACTCGCCAGCGTCCGGTCTTGGTGCTACTTGCTCCAAGTCCAGTACACGGGAATCAAGTGCCCGTGTTGCATCCTCGTGCTGAGCCTTGTGGTTCCGTACGGCCTGCAGGAGGTTCGCCAACTCAGACTGCAGGTGGCTACAAGTGTAAACCAACCTGGTTATGAGCTTGGCCATGAATTCCTTGTGTTGTGCCTCCGGTGTCCGCGTCGTCGTGCCCCTCGGATGGTTCAAAATGCCAAAGCTTGAGCCTTTCAATGCTGGTGGTTTCATGTCGCTGCAGCAGATCCTGGGTTTCCTTGCGGCGTGCTTGGGTATCTGCGTCTGCTTCGCCCTAAAGCCGCTGCTTCTTAGTTGTTGCTGCTGCTTCAGCCTGTAGGCGGGCAGCCTCGGCTACCAGCTGGCGCTGTTCCTCAGCCTCGATCAGTGCGAGCTGTGTCTGGAACCGCTGTTTGTAGTCGGCAATAGGCTCGTTGGCCAGTTGGTCTGGCATGCCCAGAGCTGGGCCCGTCATGTTGCTGACGTGGCACTGCTTACGTGGCATTGTTGCTGACGTGGCACTGCTGACATGGCACTGCTAACGTGGCACTGTTGCTGACGTGGCACTGTTGCTGACGTGGCACTGCTGACGTGGCACTGTACCAACCCGGAATGCATTCAAAGGGGTGGGTGGGAGGGAAAATGCAGGTAGAAAACCAACCCAACAATACTTTCCTCCCGGCCCTAATAAACAGATAAAATATAAATAAAAATAAAAGAGGACTACTTCCTTTTTTTTTTTTTTTTTTTTTTTGTATATCTATCGATCTGTAATGAGTGAGACATGTCAGAAGAGTACTATGAGCGAGATCTAGGCTAGGTTCCGCAAAGTTTCGGCTTTCACAAAATGCGATCTTGAAATGTTGGCAAGCTTCGCAAGATTTTGGTTTTCAAAAAAATTTGCGAGATAGAATGAAAATTCGATTTTCATAAAAGAATAAATCCGGTTTCCGAGAATATGACCACTTCTATTGTTATCCTAATGTGCCTAGAAAACGAAATGTTAACCTCAGAAATTTTCAGCTATGTATGCAAAATATCAGAGAACGAAGTGCTACTATCGGGAATTTTCAGATAAAACGAAATGCGATTATCAGAAATTTTCAGATATTTGTTGCGTGAAAACGAAATACTAATATCAGAAATTTCAAGCAAAACGAAATGCGATTATCAAAATTTTTCAGATAGCTGTTGCGAGAAAAAAAGAAAAAATTTTCAAAGATTTGTCCTACTTGATTTACTAATGAGTAATCAATGATCAAGCAAGCTGGCAACTTGATTGAGCGGGTCCTCTGAATGAGAGGTCCGCTCCGATACCAAATTGTTGCATACTTTAACGGTGTAGACCAGAACAAGAACCGACCTCTCAATACAAAGTACAAGATAGCGTAGCGGAAGACTTAGATACCAATGATCCGAACAATCAATATTGCAATGCNCAAAGTACAAGATAGCGTAGCGGAAGACTTAGATACCAATGATCCGAACAATCAATATTGCAATGCAGCCCCGAACATACATCATCATCATCATTCCATGGCGTGAAGGGGTCTGGCGCTCACACAGGAAGACTGCGCCAGCCCCAACCATACACATACGAAGAAGAGGGGGGTTAGAATAAGAAGAGGGGAAGATGGGAATGTCGTCAACACCRAGTCTTCGGCACAAGCCCAAATAGTCCTTCGTCAAAATGTCTGAATCCCAATGTCGAGTTTGGATCCAATGTCGTCAAGTCTCAAGTCACAACTCTCTCTCTCTCTGTAGTAGTCTGCTGATACTGAGAAGTCAGGTGGTGAGAGGGTGAAGAAGAGATGGTGGACTTAGAAGAGGAAGAAGAAGAACTCTCTCTCTCTTTGTGTCCAGTACTGACCTGTGAAGATGGCGCTTTGATGCAGGTACCTCGAAGATGGAGCTGGAGCTATGGCGCCACAGGTAAGTACCGCTGGCCTCCGCCAGCCATCTCTCTCCAACGCTACTACCACCAGCTACTAGCGCCCTGCGCTGAAGACTACTCCTGCAGCTATGAGCGCCCAACGCTGAAGATTACTGCTAGCGCTAACTACTACTGCAGCGCTCCTCGTGAGTGCTGCGGCCGAATCCTGAAGACTACTCGTGCCTACTGTCCAACTACCTACCGTGAAGTGCATGGGAACTTCCTATGTACTACTCGGCCTGCCTCCTGACTGCAGGGCGAGGTAATCCAGGAGGCTGCTCTTGCCAATGCCGCAAGGAGTCATGGGCTGCCGCTGCAGCTCCTGCTTGAGGCTGTCATGGGAAACAGGCTAAAGATAGCCTGTTCCCGAAACCCTGGTTTTGTGCCTGAGTGTTAGGACAGATCGATCTTATGAGGGCCCGAAAGTGGCCCTCTGTTTTAGGCTGAAAAGCCTCAGGTTTGAAAAGCCCTGTTTTAGGCTGAAACGACGTAGGGCCTGCAGGCCCTCGTTTTTCAGTCTTTCAGGCTGAAACGACAGGGGCCTGTAAGCCCTTATTTCTAGGCTTTTAGGCTGAGAATGCGGGACGGGCCCTGCAGGCCCGTGTGGCTACGCAGTATGCCACAAGAGAACATCCTGTTAATCCATGAGGTACTTCAACTCACAAAACACTCCCGACAGAACGCAGCCTTGGTGTTCATAGATTTCGAAAAAGCCTACGACCATGTGGACTGGCTGTTTTTGGATAGATGCTTGGAAAAGAACTTTGGGCTAAACTTTAGACACTGGATACGAATACTGCATCAGAATGCAACGACTTGTGTCCACGTCAACGGAAGTCTAGCACCACCTCTACGCCTGGAAAGATCGGTCCGCCAAGGGGACCCAATCGCCCCCTTCCTCTTTTTGGTCATTATGGAAGCGCTAGCTGCCAACCTTCGGGCGAACAAAAACATTACAAGAATTCGAGTCACACACATCCCGGAGGATGCAATCCCAGTTTGCTCCCTTTTTGCAGACGATCTCACAATCCTGGCAGAGGCCACGCATAGCAACATGGGGGAAATCCAACAGATGATGGAACAGTTCGCTAAGGTCTCTGACATGACAGTCAACTGGGGGAGCAAAACACAGGGATGGTGGATCCACTATCAAGGGGGTCGCCCTCCGGAGTCACCGCGTATTGCATGGATGCCACTAGACAGCCCAGTAAGAATCCTAGGGGTAGCAATGACCACAAAGGGATGCCCGCCAACAAATGATGATTGGATCAGTGCCCCGGCCCAACAAAAGTTGAACAACTTGAGAAACAAGCACACATCCCTGTTCGGTCGCGCCCTAGTAATCAACAATGTTATCTTTGCATCATTATGGTATAAGTCACTGCTATGGCCCTTGAGCAAAACAGCCCTGAGGAACCTAAGGAAAAAAGTAGCAATTTTCCTATGGACAGGGGACGGCTAGCAGAGCAACGTAATAAGCCGAGTAGCGTGGGACTCGATAATCCAACCCAAAGGGAGGGGAGGTCTGGGAATAATCGACCCAATCACACAAGTACAAGCATTACGACTAAAATGGATTAAAAAAAACATTTTCACTCCCCAGAATCCATGGTGCGTACTAGCTTTAGAACATTTGGCCCGGCTGGCCCCGAAAACCCCCCAAATAACTCACCCCCTGATATGGTTAGAGGACCGATTCTGGCCAATCCCACGTAAACTCTCCAAGGAAGGGAAGGGCTGGAGGGCGGGCAGACAATGGACACCTTCTGACCATCTCTGCTAGAAACCTGGCGCAAACAGCCGCTCCTTGACCAAGCTCACCCCAACAGATGGGAGGAAGTCTACCGCCAACCCCTTTTTGGAAATCGGTGGGTGACAAACTCGAAAGGCTACGTACTGATAAGCTCATCCACGCCCTGGCAAAGCTGGGGAAAAAAAGGGGTGCTCAAGGTGGGAGACCTATGGGACAAAGACAGACGGGACTGGAAAACAGGAGACCAGCTGAGAGGAACTTTGCGGTACTGCCACCACATAGAGGAGCTTTTGGACAACCTGATAGAAGCCATCCCACTGGCATGGTACTGAGTTTTGAAACAAGGCCCCACCTTGAAGGAAGGGGACTGGGTGGCGAGTACAGAGACCCCATTAAGGATGGGCCAGGTACACATGGTCTCCCCCCAAACGGTCTTGGTCGAATATTACGCCATTACCAAAAAAGGCACCCTTCAAGGAAACAGAGCCCCCTTTGAATGGAAAGAGAGATCATCAATGTACCGTGTGAGAGTGATAGAAGAGAAGGGGCAGAAGTCTGTGTTCCAGCCTTCCATACCAATCCAGGACTTGGCACTAGACCCAGCCGAATGGATTTGGAAGCTCCCTCAGAGGAAGGGTGTCACGGGCAACATCAGTTTACATCAGTTGCAGGTTAAATCAACCTATAAAATGCTCAGACCTAAAAGATGTTTGAGAGATACAATCAACAACCGGTGGGCCAAACACTTAAATGTGGATCGCTCTCTTCTGACACCAATCTGATGGTTCAAAGAACAAAAATCTAAACCCATGAAGATCACCTCCCTGCAATGGCAGATTGCTCATCGCTGTCTACCAACAAACGATTGGCTGACTGATCGCACTAATTTAGAACAAAGAGGTCTGCTACTTCCATGGTGCCAAAGGTGTTTGAGTCTTTTCCCCTTCCACAAAAAGGCGGAGACTATTGAACACATCTTCATGCAATGCCCGATTGCCCAATTGCCCAATTCACATGGAGATGGTGGGACCACATATGGAGGAAAATGGAAGTGGAAATCCCCTGGCCGTGGTCCTGGCAAGCCATATTGGCTGGCCATTGGCCGCCGCTAGCAGCAGCCACGACCTTTGCARAAAACATGTACAAACTTGGAAGAAGAGCAGTGTTATGGGCACTTTGGTGGCAGAGATGCACCTTAACCATGGAAAAGGTGAGAGTAGAAGGGCCAGAAATCACAGAACAGATCCAACAGCAGGTGCAAGCGGAACTCACACAAAGATGGTTARACACAAAAGCACARCTAGACCGCTTTAGGCAAATCGGAGATGTCAGGAGACAAATTTCAGTCTTTTGCTCAGATTGGATAGGAGGGGAGAGAGAGGGATGGATAGCAAGAGTAGAATG